TCTCTCTCTCTCTCTCTCTCTCTCTCTCTCTCTCTCTCTCTCTCTCTTTCTCTCTCTCCTTCCCTCCCTCTGTCCTTGGCATCTATCCCTTTGGCCACTTTGCTGAAAGTTGCAGCTGAAAAAATGCTGAATTTGAAGTCATGGGATCCGAGTGCAAATTCCAACCCTGCTGTTCACTACCTGTGTGACATTGAGCAAATCATCGAACTTCTGTGGCTCTAACTTTCCTCATTTAAAAATGAAGGTGTGGGACTCCACAGCCTTGGAGGTCCCTTTCATCTCTAGCAATGTCACAGTTTCTCTCCAGGGCCTCAGTTTCCTTACCTGTTAAAGTAGGTGGTTGGATTCAATGACTTCCAAGGTCTCTCCTACCTCAAAATCCATGACCCTAACAACTATAAAACAGACACCCTTGACCGGCCTCTCACAGATTCTGTTCTAAGAAATGACATGAGAAATGAGCCTCATGAAAATGTCAAGGTCCATGACCACCAAGCTCACCTCTGTCCAAGAACAAATCACTGCAAGGCAGCAACGAGCTTCCATGGGCTTCTTGAAAATATCTAGTGTCATGAAATATTTCAAACACCTGATTCTTGTGTTAAAAGATGAGAATGATGCATCCAAGGAGAAAGTCTGGGCCCAAATTTCTCTTTTACCAAATTGAGCTATTGCCTGGCTCATGACATGGATATTGTTCTCATTGACCTAGGAAGCTATTTTCATCTCCAGTGTTAATGAATTCTATAGTCTGGACTCCAATTCTACTAGGAAATGTCTTTTTTTTTAATGGAAAGGGTTAAACTCTTCCTGTCACTTTACTACATTTGCTATGAGGACCAAATGAGATAATATATGTAAAGTGCTTTATCAGTGTTCTAGGGCTATGTAAATGCTATTATTATCACTACTACTGCCTGTGTGACCTTGAGCAAGTCACCTCCCAGGGCCTCAGCTTCTTCATTTATAATATAAGAAAGTTGGATGGAGGCCAGATGGTCTCTCAAGTGCCTTTGACCTACAATCCCATGATCCTCTGATCCTCTGTAAGGAGAGACAACTTACCTGGCATGTGCAAACTGTGCAATTGTCATAGAGGAAAGAGACGCCATTATCATAGACATCGCTACGAAAGAGGCAGCTTCCAAACTGGAGGTCAAACACTTTCCGCTGACCTGGGAAGAAGCAGGAATCCAAACTTAAGTGAGAGGACAAGAGATTTCTCCCAGTCATTCCAAAAACAACTCATCTTCCTTAGGGCAGGACCATGGTTAGCACAGTGCCTGGCATATGGTAAATGCTAGCTGATTTAACCTAATGGATGGTTAAGAATATCATAGAGAGGATTCTGGCTCTGATACATCAGCCTAAGTGGCCTGCATGGTGTCTTCCGACTCTGAGATTCTGGGATTCTCCCAGCCCAGGGCATCAAGCAGTAGATGATAATTAGATCACTAGGTTGGCCCTTCAAATGAGAAAGCTAATGTGGGAATGCCCAGAGATTAACAGTGGATGTCAACTCTGGGCTCCACACTCATGAACTTGTTATGAAAACTCTAAGTTTTCACAATATGCTAGAGGGGAAAGCTTTCTGGATTTGGAACCAGGGTCTGGCTTTGAATCCTGGCTCTGCCACTTGAACTGGCATGTCCTTTGGGAAGTTGTTTACCCTCTCTGGACTGTTGTTCCCTCATCTATAAGGTTCAAGGTGCTTTGACTCCATCCTATGTTATCTCTTAGTATCCCACAGAAATCACTGGGGAGTTTACCGTTATTGTTTATGGCCTGGAGGTTTCAGATTAGGATCACAGACTATGAGCCAGAGGGGACCCCACAGACCACTAGCCTAACATCAGAGGAAACATAGACCCAGAGAGTGAACTGGCTTGCCCAGGATTATACAGGTGGTACATGGAAGATCATGGCACCTGATTCCAAACCGATGCCCTTTACTGTCCCTTCCAACACAAAATCTATGGTCATGTAGATGTGTATACATTTTATGTGTGTATGTGTATGTACATCTATATATTTTTATATAGATAGATATCTATAAACATGTATATATACACATGTACATGCATATGTGTATATATGCATATACATATATGTGCATGTGTACATATATATCAACATGGCATAGGATAAAGAGCCAGCCTCGAAATCAAAAAGACTTGGGATCAAGCCCTACCTCTGACCCATGTTGGCTGTGTGACCCTGGATAAATTAGTGCACCAAGCAACCCTCTAAGACTAGAAGCCAAAGAAAAGGTATTGACCTGCATTGGTGGAGGGAATTTCCTCACCTGAGAGCTCCCTGTATGATGAAATAACAGCTCTATTCTCTCTTCCTACTAAACACACACACACACACACACACACACACATACACACACACACACACACACACACACACACACCATCCCACATGTCTTAAGGCAGTTTTAAGCTTTAGCACTAAGATCTTGGGGATATCTGGTACATATATTTGAGCCTCATTCATTTCCCTCATAAAATAAGAATAATAAAATTTGTTCCCAGCAAATGGAAGGGAAGATGCATTTGTCCAAAGCATTATTACTTCTGGCCTATGAATCCTTGGTCACTTAACCTGTCTTGGCCTCAGTCCCTCTGCAAAATGAGAGAGCTGAATGAGCAGCCTCTGAGGACCCTTCCAAGCTCAAGGTCTTTTATGATCCTATAGTCTTGCAGGCTCCTGGTGAAGCCATACCCCTTGATCAAGGGGGTCTTACAGCCTGAACTGTATCTCAGTAGAACAAAATTTGGTTCTAAAGGAAGTGAAGTAGCATAGTCTTTTTCCACCAACAAGTACAGATACACAAATGTGACAATAAAAGAAATGAGGACAATAAGACAATGCCAAAAAGTGAAAGTAAATGGAACTATGAACTGTTATGTTCAGAGAGTTTAAAAAACAAACACAATGTAATTATGTGTAGAGAGGATTTTAAAAGTTATTTAAAACTGTCCCATGCCTTTCTCCTTAATAGAACTTAACTGAGTTCCATACTATATAATAATACTGTACTATATAATAATAATTTATACTATATAATAATACTATACTATATA